CAATCACTATTTTTCCGCACGGCAAATAAAAAAACAAAAAAGAATTCTGAAGAAGGGGAACCGATCGCGTCCCCTTATTTATAGTCTCCCTATGCAAATGAGAGGATCCAAAGAACCACCACGCTATTGGCCGAAGCAGCTTTTGATATCATCGCTCCTGCGCACGCACATGCAAATGAAAGTCCTGTAATCCCCGGATTTCTATTGGGTAGAAACTGTATCTGCGCTTCCTACTGGTCGCCTTTAGAGCTTGCGCTCTTATTGGCTCTAAAATCCTGGTAACAGATTTGGCCAATCAGGAATGGCGCTGTCGCACGCGAGGAGGGGATAAAAGGAGTCGGTTGTTCTCTTTCTTTAATTGCTATTTTATTTTTTCTTCTGTGTTTGAGCTGAGCTGAGTCAGTGTCGCAATGTCTGGCCGCGGCAAGCAGGGGGGAAAAGCTAGAGCTAAGGCCAAGTCCCGCTCGTCTCGTGCTGGGCTCCAGTTCCCCGTAGGTCGAGTTCACCGCCTTCTCCGTAAGGGAAACTACGCCGAGCGGGTTGGTGCTGGAGCCCCCGTTTACCTTGCTGCAGTGTTGGAGTATCTGACAGCTGAAATTCTGGAGCTGGCTGGGAACGCGGCCCGGGATAACAAGAAAACTAGAATAATCCCTCGCCACCTCCAGTTGGCCGTCCGCAACGACGAGGAGCTCAACAAGCTCTTGGGAGGCGTTACTATTGCCCAGGGAGGAGTCTTGCCCAATATCCAAGCCGTCCTACTACCGAAGAAGACCGAGAGCCACAAGCCCAAAGGCAAATGAAGAAACTGCTTTTCCCATAACATCCGTGCAACACAAAAGGCTCTTTTAAGAGCCACCCACAATATCAAAAAAGAGCTGTTACTTAAATATTCTGCGTTTGTATGCACTACGGTGGAAAACAACTGTATAAAAGTTTTAAGTTTTATTGCTGTGATATTTTTAAGTACATGCAAAAAAAAAATGTGGCCATTGTAAGTCATTCTGGTAAAAACTCATAAATGAAGCATTCTGCCCACGTGCAGGTTTATAACAGTGAGTGCAGCTCTCTAGTGAGGTAGTGGGTGGCCCTTAAAAGGGCCTTTGGATCATTACTGTTATAGAGTTAATTCTCCAGAGCGCTTTAGCCACCAAATCCGTAGAGAGTACGGCCTTGGCGCTTCAGAGCGTACACGACGTCCATGGCGGTCACGGTCTTTCTCTTGGCGTGCTCGG